AAATGTCATCTAGGTTAGTATTCCCATCATTGATCACATCCCATAAGTTTTGAGCACAAAAATAGGTCTTCATTTTGATGGACCAAAAATCACAGTTGTCTCCATTAAATGTTGGAATAGGAATAGATGAACAAAAAGCATCTGCCATAGTATATGTTTGCGCTTAATGTCAATCGAACGTAGCTCTGATACCATTGATGGTTTTTATTTTGAATAAAAGAAATAAATGAGTTTAGATTGAAGTGGTTAAGTAAATTTTATGTAGGATAGAAATGATAGGAGTAATTTAATTGAACAAGATAGTTGAAGGAGAAAGAAAGTAATTTTATTATAGTTTTACAAACTGGCTTTTGATTTACAATGCAAGAGGTTGGATGCTCTTTTGAATTTTTTGTTACAATATTGTGAATGTGGTAGCCCCTATTTATGTACACGAAATGGTGGTGAAAACCATTCTAGAATATTCTAATTTTTTTCATCATTTTATTACTTGTTTCTCAAGACATTCTAGAAAATTCTGATTTTTTAATTTTTAATTACTATTTTTGCTAGTTCATCACGAAATTCTAGGGACTTCTATTTTCTTGCTTCCCAAAGCAATTCTAGTGAATTCTAGAGTAAGATTTAAATATGCAACAACCATTAATAATGAATATATGCATAGGAAGTAGGTAATGTACGCCAACCCCCATGTTGGATTGAAACGTGTACCTTTGGAGTCTTCAAAAAATTAGATAAATTCAATCTTTTTCATTAGATACTATTGGAAAGTCGCAAAGATAAAGAAAATAATCCAACTCATTCCAAATATTAAGATTTGTTTTTGATTTTTTTTTTCAGAACTAATTGAAACAATATTCATTTTTGGATTCAAAGTTATGAATTTCTGTATCGCCATGTACCTTGATCAGTGGGTTATCCATGGATCCGAAACTTTCCCACGAGGAAAAGAGTTTGGCTTGGTAAACTATAATTACAATAATTTACAATCAATTGTATATATAATTATGGAAGAATAATGCTTGAGAGAAATCTTTGGTCAATATCTCATAGATACCCCCCCCCCAAAAAATTGATGCTGGTTGATCAAGAAACATCAATTTACTAACAAGAAACTAACACCAATGTCGCATCATTGCCTTAGTAAACACATCGACAATCTGAACATCCCTGGTGATATGTGGAAGAGAAATAATGTGATCGTCATAAGCTTCACGAATAGAGTGACAATTCACTTCAATGTGTTTAGTGCGCTTATGAAAAATAGGATTAGCAGTAATTTGAAAAGCAGTAGTTTTGTCGGTACAAAGTGGAATAGACTCAAGTTGAGGACAATCAAGCTCCGCTAAGACATGGTGTGATACTCAGATTCAGTGGAAGATTTAGAAATACTATCATGGTTCTTACTACGCCAGGAAATAAGTACATTCCCAAGAAAATACAACAACCTATAATCGAGTGATGAGTATCCACACATCGAGCCCAATCTACATCACTATAACCTACCAACCCATGGAAAGAATTAGCAAGAAAGAAAATACCCCTATTAGGTGTACCGAGCAAGTAATGAATGATGCGACAAACTGCAACAAATGGAGATGTCGTGGAGCATGCATAAACTGACACACTTGTTGTATGGAAAAAGAAATGTAAGGTTGAGTAATAGTGAGGTAACTCAAACTACCCACTAACTGAAGATATAAAGAAGGATCATGAAGAAGATCACCCTCCACCTTGCGATATTTCACACACTCTAAAGAAGTATCAACCGGGTAAACATCCTGAAGTCCAGGTAAAGCGGTTAACTCCTTCGTATACTTGCGCTGATGCTGATAAGTACCTATTGAACTGGAAAGTACCTCAAGACCTAAAAAATACTGTAAGGAACCCAAATCTTTCATATGGAAAGAATCCTTCAATTGGTTTTGAAGATGAGATATGAGTTCGAAGTCAATCCTGATAATAATAATATCATCTACATAAACCAAAAGAAAAACTATACCCGCCTTAGTGTCTGAGATGAAGAGAGACGAATCATATTTACTCTAGATAAATGATAAACTCAAGAGAGTAGAGCGAAACTTATCAAATCAAGCACAAGGAGCTTGCTTCAACCCATAAAGAGCGATTTAGCTTACATACATCTAAAGATGGTAATGAAAAGAGGCCCGCATGGGGTGTCATATAAATTTCTTCCTTAAGATCACCATGTAAGAAAGCGTTCTTGACATCCATTTGCCGCAAAGACCATCCCTTGGAGGTAGTTAGAGCTAGGACAGTTCAAACTAGGGCTGTAAGCAAAAATTGTCAAATCGAAAAATCAAACCGAAACCCCATTTTAGAAATCGTCGGTTTGGTTCCACGTGGACCCGTCAACAAATGATTTTGAACTAAATCAAAACGGTCAAAAACGGTTTGATTTAAATTTGAGAATTTTAATCGCAGTTTAAAACCAAATCGGACCGGCAAAAAATATATATAAAAATAAAAAATAAAAATTTATTATTTTTTAATTCATCCAAATATGTAAAATTTAATAGTTTTGTGACTTTTGTCATTTGTGGGTATTTTTGTCAATTTTTAATTTTCTATTTCATATATTTTATTATTACCCAATAATCCTAATTAGCTATTATTATTATTATTGTTGTTGTTGTTGTTGCTATTGTCAAGTTTTAATTTTTGTCTTGGGCCCAAGGCCACAAAAGCCATATGAGCTCCAAAATAGAAAAGAGGAAGGATTTGGGCTCGGATTATATTACTTAGGAGTTCATTAGGTGCACGGATAGTTGAGGCTTGTATATGCCAAAAATAAAAAATAAAAAAAATAAAAAATAAAATTGGTTGCAAACTAAGAAGGAACCTATAGTGTTGCGCCAAAATTTAGATGAAGTGGAGGCATTGGATGATTCAATGAAAGTTGTAGTAGGTGATTTATGTTTTCTGTTACCATATTTTTTTGAAGATTCTCTTATCTATCTAGTATCTAGTACTATGATGATGTAATGAATGTATTTATTTGACTATGAAGACGATGTATCATTTGTGACAACAATTGATGTTTGAGTATATGCGAGAAACTGAGTTCGTAACAATATACAATCGTAAGCTTGTGTAATTATTATGTTTAGATATTATAAATAATTGTTTTATTATTGTGGTTGGTTATTCTCTTTATCTAATCAGTAACATTTTTTCTTGCAGATATGATGATCATGACTTGTTGGACATCATTAATGTTTTTGGCCTTATATTTAGTTTAATAGACTTTTATTGTAAAGTTTTCATAACATCATTAGCCTAAAAATGGCGAACAAAAATTTATGTTTTAGTTTATTGTGATTTTACTTTGATTTAGTTGGTATTTAAATTTATAGTAGATATATTTAGTTTGTTTTAAATTTATTGCTAGTAAGATATAAATATATATTGAATTCAATGAGCGTAAAAGTATACAGGCAAAAAAAATATACGGTGAAACCGACAGTTTAAAATTGGACCAAACCGTTAGGCTTAGGTTTAAATTTTTTTCAAACCGTTTAAAATAGTTTGGTATAGGTTTAGGTTCTTCTCAAACGATTTAAATGGTTTGGTTTGAAAACCTGTCAAAAATCGATAAAAATCGGACCGTTTACATCCCTAGTTCAAACCATTGTCATTTTGGCAACAGGAGCAAAGGTCTCCTCGTAATCTATGCCATATTCTTGACAATTCCCAAGAGCCATCACTCGAGCTTTATATCATTCTAGCGACCCATCAGAGCACAACTTGACAGAATAAACACATTTAAACCCAATAGGTTTGATGACATGAGGGCAAGAAACAATATTCCATGTACGATTCTCCTGAAGAGCTAAGAGTTTCTCTTGCATAGCTTTCTCCCAACAAGGTTGGGTAACAACCTAAGAATAAGAAGAATAAACTGTAAAATGAGATAAGATTGCAGAGAAACCATACCGATCAGGAGGGTGAGTAATGCAGGTGGATCGTCGAAGAATGGTATAGTCTGGAATAGGATCTGGAACGGGATCTGTAATTGGAACGGGGAGTAAAACTGGAGGCCGTCGTCGCTGATATACCATTCACAGTTCAAAACGCTCGATAGGACAAGAACTATCCTCGAAGCTAATAAGCAGAGCCAAATCAAAAGAAGACACGTATTGTTAAAAGTAATGCAACCATACCTTATGAGCAATGTTGTAACCCATCAAGGCACACTATACGGATTGAGTAGCAAGCTTATGGCGTTCATGGGGAAGCAAATGCAACCAAAAGTATGTAACATGTCATCACCAGGATGTGTGTCGTGCAAGCGAAAATAAGACGAGTCAAAATTTAATTGCTGAGCATGAAGTCTATTAATCAGATAGACAGCTGTGGAGGGCTTTCGCCCAAAATTTAGGCTGAATCAAGGATTCCAAGAGCAGAAATTTGGCAACATCCAACAAGTGACGATTCTTTCCACCACTTCGTTCTGCTAAGGAGTATATGGACAAGAGCTTTGAGATAGAATACCTTTATTTTGTAAGAAGGTCTGGAATTGATGTGACATATATTCACCATCGTTGTTAAACCTCAGAACTCGAATACTAAAGGAAAATTGTGTCTCAATGTAAGCTACAAAAAACTAAAGAACTGTACTAACCTTACTTTTAGAATGGAGAAAATATATCCAAGTGTAACGACTGAAATCATCAATAAACGTCACAAATACTTATAATTGGCATGTGAAATGACTGGTGTCACATCCCAAACATCACTATGGATAACCTCAAAGCATTTATTAGCCCCGGTTTCCATGAGTCAGAAATGGAAGAATCTTGCTTTTTCCAAATTTACAAGCATCACAATTAAAAGACAAATTGGAAAATTGAGATTTATCTTTATTGCCCAAAAAACCACATTTCAACAAATGAGATAAAATAGAAGTATTAGGATGACCTAACCGTTTATGCCAAATTTCATATTTAAGTCCAATGTCAATACAAACTAAAAATATAGCAGCATGAATAGTAAACTATAACTAGAATAATCTTCCGACTTTAGGTTCCTTCGCGAACACCTTTCCCGATCCTTGATCCTGCACAAGACAACCATCACGAGAAAAACTCACATTAAAGTTATTATTAACTAATTGACCAACGAAAATCAAGTTAGTAGATAAATCTGAAGATATAAAAATATTATCAAAAGATGACCCTATATCACCAACAGTAGTAATCAGAAGGATACTTCCATTAGTAATTTGATTATGTTGTGTACCAGTATAGCGGCGAATGTTATGTAATGAGGCAGAACTACTAGTCATATGATTTGATACCCTCGAATCGACAAACCAAGGAGAAGAAACAACTTGGCCCTTACCTTGTAAGCCTAATGCAGAGAAGGTGGAAACAATCATTTGCTGGACCATCTCTAGGGTAAGAACAGGTTGACTAGTACTAGCTTAGGAAACGACTGGAGTAATACCTTGAACAGTAGCTTGAAAAGCATTGGATTTCCAATTTGGAGGCCTAGTAAGACAGTCCCTGATGAAATGCCCGAGTTGCTTACAATAATTACAAATTTTCTGAGGATAGTTACGAGCAATATGACCATGACCTTTGCAGTAGAAACACTAAAGTTTACTCTTCCCCAGTCCTTGAGCAGCATATGCAACGTAGACCCATCAAGTGAGGAGAAATCAACACCAATATGAATTTGTGTAGCCAGTCGTTCCTCGCGCAAAAGTTCACCCGACACACATCCAACGAAGGAACCAAATCATGATTTAATAAGACTGCTCGAACCACTTCAAATTCGGGTCGTAATTTCATAGGAAACTGGTCACGCTTACTAACCTCCTGAACCTCCTTAGTGCTGATAAGGTCGTTGCCAGGGCCTTAGCATATATTATGCCTGAGTACTCACTCCACAAAGCTAGAAAACTAGAATAATATTGTTCAATAGTAAAATTACCTGGACTGTATTTGGCAATCTCTAGTTCCAACTGAAATCGCCTTACATTATTGTCCTGATAATAAATGCACTTTAAGTACTCCCACATTTCCATAGCAATAGTGAAGGAACGCAAATTATTTACCATGTAAGTGTCCATAGATCTCAAAATCCAAGAAATAATACGAGCATCCTTTGTTTCCCGTGCACTAAAATCCTTAATATCCTTAGGCGCATTAGAGGGTCCGTCAATATGATCCCCAAGCTCCTTCCCTTTTAAAAATATTTTGAACTGAAACCCTCATGTCAAATAGTTCTTACCCGTGAACTTAACGCAAAAGGTTTCGATCAACATAACTTTATAATGCAAATAAAACACCCACACTAAAGATCCAATGTCCAACCTCAAACAAACCAATCCACTAGACAATTAGCCTACAAGAAAGTAGACTACTCGCACAATAAAAGCCAAAATGAGTCAAGCCCAACTCTCACACAACACAGCAGCCCAAACCACAGCCCACAAGAACTGGCAAACCAACATAAGCGAAGCAAAAAAATGACGAAGCCCACACACTAGACAGAGAACACGCGACGGAGAGGAAGGTGAAGATCGACCCACCAGCGAAGAAGATGGAGACCGCGATGAACTAAAGCACTCCCCAATTAAAAGACCACCAAGAGCCGTTGAACATAGCAACCTGAGAACAATACCGACGGAGGAAAGAAAATGCCCGCTTCCACCGTCGTGCTGGAGACGGCGAGAGGACCCAACGAAATCGTCGACGCGATTGGTCGACCCAAAGCTCCAAATGCGAGAACCCACACAGAAAACTGGAAGATCGAGAACCGAACTGCGACCACGCCAAGAACAGACGAAAAAAAAATAAAATTTGAAGATTCAGCGAAGAGTTCTATATGTAAGCTCTTATACCATGACAATAATCAACTGAATGATCTCACCTTTTTTTGGATTCCTTCCATTAAATAGAGATAATTACACATATGCTAAGGTCCTAAATATAGTAAACTATAATTACAATAATTTATAATCAATTGTATGTGTAATTATGGAAGAAAATTATTCGGGCGAAATCTTTGGTCAATATCTCGTTGATATTTTGTAAGTTAGTCATTTGATCACAAGGCTGAAGAACCCAGACCTCATTCCTATCATGGAGGTAAGTTAAACGAAAGAGGAAGTCTTACTAAAAAGTCACATAATCTCTAAATACCCCAACACTTTGGAGATCTCATGAGCTTCAAACCCCTCGGCAAGAACTATGTTTGGGCTGTCTTCAGAAGCCGAGCAGATCTTTTTGCAGCTGTCTTCACTATGCGCAAGCATCTCGCTACCATATTCAACAGAATCTCTCAGAATAACAGTCTTGTGAAGACCTCCGAGCAGGCCTTCGAAGTCTGTATCCCCTCTTTCTCCCACAAATACAGTAATTTTGGGAAGTTCAATACTCCATCTAACTGATAGATACCTGCACACATGAAATGTATGTGGGAAATTATAGTTAGATACTTAGATTTCTGGTTCAATTTATTTATTTTTCGTTAAACAAAAGCATGAAGTGCAAATTATAAGATAGACCTTAGAGCTTGATCTCTTGATGCAAATAGTGGTATCACATTCAATCTCGATGCAGCATGTGTGTAGACAAGGTTGCATCGCAGGCCTCTCATTCGTAACCTCTGTCTCAGGTCATCAATGTTCCGAGTCTGTGTCAGACGTATTCACATACTTTTTGGTTTAGTACTTAACTAAACACTGATTATGAGATTTATTCTTCATATCTGGTTTCAAGACTTCAATAATTGTTTAAATAAATGAACGTCTTACCTTCTTTCCCTGTTTGATTCTATATGAGAAGCATTGAGAGCTGCATTGATTTATCTGTTGCATAACATCATTCTCAGCTCCATCTTCTATCTTCGCAAGCCTAGTTACTATCAATTTAACATTCTCACCAGGCCACCGATATTCAATGTGCGCTTCATAGTCTTCATCTATTATCAAGTCCCTCCATGGATAGTACACTTCACTTCCACTGTTACAAACCAATGCATCAAAGTCTTCCAATTTTACCTGGCAATTTTTCAGTGCTTCCTTTGTCTCTGTCAGACTTAAACCAGTCAATAATGCAAAACCTATCTGACCTGACTTTGATCCTGCAGCCTGCATCACATTTTTGATAACTAAAGGTAATGCCTTAGTAGGACTTCCATTTCTGTTATAACAGTCAACGGCCACTACGTACAGCCATTGTCTTCTCCCTGGACAGTATATGTTGATGGATTTTCCAATAGAAGTAGCTTTTTGGATTAGAATCTCAGTGAGCTCCTGTTTATTAGGCGCATCATGTTCGCTAACCTTGACATCTATGTCAATGGAGAATTTCAAAGAAAGGTCTTCGACACCACGGAGTGATTCGCTTAGCGGCTCCTCAGGAAATGGCATGACAGAAAGATGGTTAGTAGGGTGGTGATTTTTGCACTGCTCAACATAGGAGAGGTAGCTACGGCAGTGCTCTGGCCATGAAAAACGGTGGATATATTTTAGACCATTTTTTCGGCACTCATGCCAAAGGTTCTTGTCAGCAACAAGCTTTAGAAGAGCATCTGATGTGGCTTTCTGGTCATATGGGTCAATTAGTACACCATTGTTGAGTGCCTGATTAATTTATATATTAGATCACCTAACAGATTAATAGTTCACCTTCATGTGAAGTGCAGCAGTTTACAGATTTAATCAGGCATGATCTGGATCTCAATTTTTTGTCAAAACTTAAAGTGTGGAATACCCATCAAAACTTGGGCATTCTTGCCTTCAGTCATAAAGGTAAGTTTAGCCATCTAGTTACCTTCAGTATGTCCACAGGTCCACCATGTTTTGTCGCGACAATTGGTAATCCATAAGCAGCTGCCTGCAGAAAAGTGTGGCATTTACTAAGTTCCAACTATTTCAAGATTCCATATGGTAGTGCAGTCAGGTTAGCCAGTTATAAGCGAAGACTGACCTAACGTTAACTAACCTCTATAAGAGTGAGACCAAATGGTTCCACCAGAGCTGGATTGATGAAAACTCCCTTAAAGAAGTAAATTCACCATAGAAGTGTTAATATCAGCATGTTGCTATTTAAAGAAAAGATGTTAAATGTTGTAAAGTGAGAAGGAATTAGTAGGCTCGTTTTCATAAATATATTCACCAGTACTATGATTTTATTTTCATAAAGTATCCCTGCTATAGTGGTTTAATTAAAAAAACGAAGATATACAAGGACTGATGGGAACTGTCATTGATATTGGTTAATGGGCCGAGTGGTGAGATCTGCATAATTACCTGGCTGAAAGGTGTCAATAATTTACTAGTTTATTAAAGCGAGAAAGTTCATGTCACCATGACCAGTTATTTACTGCCATTGAAATGGTTAAGTTTACTAAATGATTCACCTTAGTTTTCGCTGCTAGACGATATATTTCGGGAACTTCTGGTTGTTTATGATGCTTTGGATATGCCACCTGACCATACAAGTCATACTTATCAATAAGCTTGAGAGCTGTCATAAGAACGACTGAACTGCTGTCGGACATCTCTTCTATGTCACCTCTGTTACCGAGTATCAATGTCTGCAGGGACAATCTGGAATAACATTAACTTACAATTTTTTATTTTTGCTGGACTGTCTTAATGCACAACTGAATGGTCGCAGATAAAGCATTACCAGATTTGCCAGTTCTCGAAGGGGTTGACATTCCCCAAATGCCTTGATCAATGTGGTGATATTTTTCTTGGGATCTGGACGGGACAATGCTAGTATCATGGGCTTGTGAGGGTTCGTAAAAAATCGCATGATCTGCATTGAACAAAATTTGACAAAATTTTGTCAAAAGCATACATAAGACATGTCGTCTTCCTTTTGATTAGTGGTACAGTATGATATTCCTATTTTGTTCTCGTGTTTACACAATTTGCAATAAAAATGGTAACCCTTTAGCTTAGAGACAGAGTAATCAGCTTTATTTGATTGGCATGTTAGAGAAACATATTAATTTTTGCACTTTCATGTGAATGATAAAGATTTTAACCTCAGACCAAATTGGCGGTATAGGTCTTTTCTGGGTTCTGTCAGTGCCAATCAATGATCTCAGATCTCCATCGCCATCAAATGAATCTTGTGTTGCAACACTGCTGAACTCCATGCCCGGTGGTATAACCTAATTCCACAAAAGGATCACAACTGAGATCGGTGATAGTTGTTACCTTTTCGTTCTCTTTTTTCATAGTAAAATTTTGAAACACTAGCATTAGCAGAAAATGATATTTCAAAATCAAATTGACTCTAATAAAGGAAAATCATGTTGCATGTGATTTATGGAATGAAGCTTGTCTATGATGTTGTTGCCCTGTTGAAAAATTATACCATTGAGGATTTCTTAAAAATCATTATTATTAATTTTTATCTGGATACTAACTGACGACAATTGACGCAACTTGGGCAGGTTCAAGTATTATTTCACCTTAACATGCCTTCTTGAACTTTGATCCCACAAATGGATAAAAGTTGGTTGATTTAGGTCATTTATATCATACTGTGTGATTTTTACTATTATTCAGCACGAACTTCACTCTGGCTGTCTGGCATGTGTACATATCACTTCTTTTGTCTATGTAGAACCCCAAAGTTTGAATTTATTTGCTCCTAATCATTCAAATTTTAATTTATTTTTAATTTTTGGGACAAAGGAGAAGAGACTTGTGAGAAATCATACTTTGCATAAAGAAAATAGCAAGTAGAGGTTGTCCATACCACCATCCTTGGCATGTATCTTCCAAGGCATGTTACTCCTCTCCGTCTCCTAATTCTAAGTTTCCTTTCCAACTGTATATCAAATCCATCGTACAAACCCCATTGCTCTTCAATCTCTTGCCTTGTGCTTGTCACTACCATTTCAGCAGAATCCAACCCTAACTCTTCGGCTTCAATTCTTCTTATTATCTTGTAGGTTGCGTTGATGTCCTCCCTAGAGAGCCTTCCTTGTTTAAGTAACTGCTCTAATTTGTTCCTACCTAGTGAGTGCCCTGTTAACACCATTGGTACATTTAGGACTCCTGACAAGCGTGCTGCTACTTCCCCAGCATCAGCATAGTGACCATGAATGACATAAGGCCATACTGGTTTTCCAGGATTGACTTGTTCTCCTAAAGCTCTTGCCATGTTGACGATGTGACCTAGAGCCCCATCGATGAATTCAGGTAAGTAAGGCCAGAGTGACTCTTTAGGAATATACCTGTTATATGTCCCGAATTAGTTCCAATCCTCTACAAAGTTCAAATCTGAGATAGGATACAGGTTGGATGTGGTTTAGTTTGAGAGATGAACAGCATGTTAAAATAGATGAAATTTATGTACTTGTCACGAGGTCCGCAAGGTATTCTAATTATATAGGCACCACAGCTACCGAATCCATCAGTTGGGCAGGACAGCATCTCAATCGGCTCACTATAGCTGGAGTCAACCTCTGGGGATGTGATTTGTCGAGTAAGAAGATCTACTCTGTGGATTCCATTCATGTTGGCTAATGCTCGAGCTAATTCCACAACATATTTTACCTGCAAGTGTTATAGCAAGACAGAAAGTTGATCTATGATTAGTTGTCAGATTTAGTTTATTGTCTTAAATAGGTTAGTTATTGCACTACTTGGTACATTTCAACTACAGCTCTCTCTCTCTCTCTCTATATTAGGGGTATGGGTGGAGGGTTGAGTTGCTTTCAAATGTTAGTATGAGTTCATTTCATTATACCCAATTTCAACCTTAGCAGAGTCAGATTTAGGACTATAGCATCACTACCTGACCGCCAGTGTCAGAGTCTCGTCCAAGTTCCATGTTTTCTCCGCGCACCAACCCATGAAGACTGCATAATAAACAGCAAAAATTTTCATGAAACTCAGTCCATCAACTCTGATGATGTCGTTTTTAGTTATATTTGTTTACTTACTATAAGAAATTATAGTATGTGAATTAATTGAAGTGACTTCCGCTTGCTTTTACTGATTCAGACATGCCTTTTTCAATAATCTATTTGAAGCCCCCATATATGAAAAATTAGACTTTGTCCATGTTTGAGCCATATTCTAGGAAAAAAATGCATTATTTATGTCAAATCAATGAGAAATGTGTGGTTAAAAAATAAAGAGAAGTTTTAGATTTGCATGTAATATTATTTTATTGAAGAATGTATAGTTAAAATAATATCAAATCACTGTTGAAAAATATATTTTTTTGAAAATAATGTAGCTCAAACAAGCCTTTATTTTATGTATCTTCAGCAATTTCGTCAATGTTGTTTAGACAAGTAAAAATAACAAATGACGTGAATTAGTTACCTTATCAAGACAATGTAGAGTTGCCTAGATTTGTCGTCGGACCAAATTTGATTATCAGAGTTTATTCTTGCGATGTCAGTAACAAAATCAGATTGATTGGAATCGGTTTTCTCTCTCTCCCCTTCTGAGAGCTCAGAAAGATCTTCTGCAGCTTTTTCACGTTCAAGTCGCCTCTTTACTAGTTTTTGTGCATCATCCCAAGCTATCTGCAAATTCAGCATTTAATCTCTTGTAGTAAATCTACTTTTTTGATTAAGTTATTTTTCATTTGTTATTTCAGTGAGAATGTTTTCACCCTATGTTCCATCTGCTGTAATAAAAAGAGGATAACTTTTCACTCTTTTATAAAACCAGTTTGTACATAATTTTTTGTGTCAAGAGAGTAGAGGTGAGAGGAGAAACCTGTTTTTTTTGTCGGGCAAGGTGCCAGATGCGCCAGCACATATTCTCGAGCCTGTTATTGCGTTCACGAGAATTCCTTGTGGCGACCACCTGCCCAATCACGTAACAAACAAGTCATTTTCCACGTAAATTTGATTATTCTGCTTTTCGTTCGTGCTAGATTTGCCAAACAGTATTACAAATGGGGGCACAAAGCTAATCATTTAAGTGTGATCAAAAGTTTGTTAAAAATAAGATTTAGAGCCTGTTTGGGAGTGATTTTGAGAATTGATTTTTGACTGTTAGGAGAAAAGTGGAATTCATTTGTGATAGAAGAAGTCAAATATGATGACTGAAATAGGGAAATAACAATCAACAAATTAATTTTTGGGGCCAAAAAATCACTCCCAAACAGGCTGTTAGTAGTTGGTGCAGGTTTGTAGTGGAGCAGGCAGGCAGCAAACCTTAAGCCATGTCTTGTGAAGGTCGGCCTCATCGAAGCTATTGATAACTTCTTCGACAAAGTATTTGGTGGGACTAAAATGCTTTTCTTCCTTTACGTTGTCATCAAACCTTTTTCTTAAAAAACTGCTCTTCTTTTTGTTACTCCCATCACTGCTTTCTTCGATAGCTCTTCTTCTGCCTGCTCCAACATCCAGTATAGCCTCCAAGTATCCATTCAACCATTCATTTTCTCCCATTTCTATCCCTGAATGAAATGACTTAATTTGGAAAGATATCTACTCTTAGAAATG